TAATAAAATTAATTTCCTTTGCAATTCTGAGTGTGTCGTGAGCTTTTTGTGCATGAGCATCCTCCTGAACCTGTAACAGTGTCTCTCAGCTCTAAAAAATCAAAGTTCAGTTCATGTTCAGTATCACTATTCTCTGATTTACATATTCAAAATAATATGGTAGTGTTTAAAATAAAAGCTACCAAAAAATTTCAAGCAGACATTGCCTGATCAAAGCAGGAATAAAAGAGAGGCACTGTAGTTTTACTCTGTGGTTTTTCTCCATAAATAATGTGCTTACAGTTCCTGAAGATCTCTGAGACTGACTGACCATTTTATGAGGAAACTTATAAACACGTATGCAAATAAAAACAGACTACAAAGATAACTTACTCCCTAGTAAAAACAACTGATCAAAGAGGCAAACAATTTGCAGTTCTCATGGACGTAAGTTGGGAAATCATTTATGTACATTAAGGAACGTGAAATGTTATGGACCCTTTATAAGGATATACAAGTACAAAAGTTGATAAGGTTCTTTGGTAGTGTCTAGTGTCATGCTACATAATATCACTGCCTTCCATGGTTTTATGCAGTCTTCTTGGGAAACCTCATGATTACGAAATCACTGTGGAAACAGGAAACTTTCTTTAAGTCAGCTTGGAAAGAAATATTCCTCAGAATTAAAGTAATAAAATATGGGAGCATACCGTGCCTTTCTGGTATCCTACACCAATAAACTGAAATTCTGTTGAAGATAATGTTCAATTGAAACAGACAGTTTCTATCCACAGTATCACCCTGAAAGTTAAAACACATAGGCACCTTCACTCTTCCCAAAAACAAAAATGAAAAATCAAATGAATGCAATCTCATCGTGCAGCAGAGGAGCCACTCATCCTGCCAGCACCCAGCATGTGGCAATTTCACACTGTCACTGTGTGCTCAAAAAGGAAAGAAAAAGCAGATCCTCAACACGAATAAACATCTGTTAGTTCTGGGTCCTGGTGCCAGAATAACTTCTGGAGTTTCTCTGGAATCTTATATTCTAGATCCACCCTAGAGGAAACCAGGAATTCATCTCCCATTCTGCTGCCCCCATCACCCAGCCACCCCCATCATTCCTTTGTAGGCATTTTCCTAAAGGCCAAGGAAAATGTGATCCTTTCTTGCACGCTGGCTGGTGAAGGCACAGAGGGCACACATCTCCCACTGGCAACCCCCAGTTTGACAATGAAACTGCTCCCTTTGGACACAGGACTTTGAGGCACTGCATTTCCCACATCATCTGTGGTCAGGCAACCTCAGGGCCACAGGCTGTCACTACCTAGCACAGGTACCAAAGTCCTATTGTTTCAGCCATGCATGCAAACACAGCAGTAGCTAAGCAGCCTTAGAGTACTCCTGCCTCATCAAAATGCATGGAAAGGATAGATGGATAGGATAGGATAGGATAGGATAGGATAGGATAGGATAGGATAGGATAGGAGACAACTTCTCTGTCAGGTGCTATGGTGGGTGCTGTAAAAATCAGGTTAGTGAATTTCCTTCATAAATGGCACAGTCATGCCTGATGCTGCGTTATGATGGAAGAAATGGGACAAAAGTCTTCTTGATGACAGGAATTTTTATTTTTAATTCCAGTCTCCAGTGTATCACAATTGGCAAAGCACTTTCCAATGGCAGCCTGGGTGCATTAGGAAATGTCCCTCTGTTCTGGCATTTCAAAGGCAAGGCAGAAATAAGCCACCTGAGAATCTGATAATCAAGTGTCCTTGTCCTGGGAAAAGACAAGGACCAAGTGTCACAAATTGTATCACAAAAAATTCCAGCAAGATACTGTTATGGGCAAAAACTGCTTACTCCTTCAGGGAATTTCCATGAATTAATTTATTTGCAATTTAAAATCTATTAAATACAGATTCTGGTATCAAGGGAAACTGAAAAAAAAAAAAAAAAAAAAAAAAAAAAAACAAACAACCAATCCTGAGGAAAAAACCCTTCTTCCCTTTAGACACCTCTTCCTCTCACTACCCTTTTTGCTCCTCACCCCAGGCCATGCTCAGCCCCTTTGCTGAGGCAATGGCCAGTGCAGGAGACTGAGGCCAGCACACACCAGGCCACAGCTCCTCAGGGCTGCATGTCTCAGCTCCTGGTCCCTTGGCTCCAGCCCCTGTCCAGGTTCCTCTTCCCTCCTTCTGCTCCAGTGAGGACGTCTCCCCTTCATCTCCTCCCACCCTGGCCTTGTTTCTCCTTTTGCTTGGTGTTTACCACCCTCACTGGTTTATGAGGTCTTGAAGTGGACAATATACCTGTGTTAGGTACAGTCTGAGACCACCTAGAGATGAGGCCACTGGGATATTAGAAATTAATTGATTGTATTGCTAAGTCTCCACAAACCTTGCAAAGATGCAAATACAATCTGCTTAAATGTGAGGCAACAGCTATCCATCTCAGCTGTCTTCTAGGCATGTCAGATATATATATATATATATATATATATATATATATATATATATATCAGCTTTCCTTTTCATCTTTTCTTTAGCATTGGGAAACACAAAGAAATTTTGCTGCGAGTATCTACCTATGGGGCAATATATCTAAATAGCAATTCACTGGGATTTCACTTTGAAAATTTCAGCAAATGCAACACAACAATCAGGAGAGCTTGTGCCTTCATCCAAAAAATACCAGAAAGCTGTTTGGCAGAAGTCCTGTAGACCAGCTCCTAGATCTGCTCCAAGAAGCATTTCAGATTTTATCCTATTGGAAATTAATACCAGAGCATGAATAGGCAGGGAACAAGGACAAGAATCCAGGTTCTGAGAGAAGACTGGCATATACTTCTTTCTTCAAGTCCATTCTGAATTGAGAATTGGTGGAGCAATCTTCCCATGCCATAGATGAGATTCCCAAGTCTTAGAGCTAACCTAAGGGCACCACCTGAGCCCAGTGTACTGGGTACCCTGAGTGGATAGCTCCTGCCACTAGGCCTGTCCTAGTTCCTGTCCCTTCACCATTACCAGAGTTTGCCTCAAGCTCCTGAGGAGCCAGAAAGAAACTGGCTAGTACAAGCAGTTACATTTTCTTTTCTGCCTTGTTGAGCTTTAAAAAGTCACTAACACTTCATGGCTGTTTTTTACAGCTAGACACCATCTCTTCATGTCTGTTGCAATGTCAGTGAGTCCTCCACAAAATGGTCTAAGGTGAGATTTTCCTAGAAATCTTCTTGGTGTCTGGCTGTGGATGGGTGTGTCTTTGTAATTTATTCCCACCCAGATGTCTATTCTTCTCCCTAGTTATCTCTAGGTAAGAGATGCTATATTTTTCAGCTGGGTAACTCTTTAATTAAGACTAAGACCTAAATGTCTACATGACATGAAGTAGCTACCCCTTTTTCTGTTGACAAATTCCTTCTACATAGACAGCTCTTACTCTAACATAGTGTCAATCCATTCAAGGAAATTGAGAACTGAACACGGGAGAAGCTATCACTGGAGTCATGCTAATTAACACTCAGATTTCAACAAGTTAGGAGCTACAGGAAAGAGCTTCTAAGTGTCTGTTTCCCAGAGAGAAATTCAGAGCTGACATACCTGTCTCAGAAAACCTGTGCATGGAAAAGGGAATCACTAGGATCCAACCTGCCCTAAGTGCTGAGTGCAGCAGGAGATATATAACCTTGCTCTGAGCCTGGCTGGCTCTTTTCTACTCACAGGTGCCAAGCCTGTCTTCCCTAGATGGGAGAGAAGAAATACCTACAACTTTTCTGCAAGTACTGGCAGGAGAGGAGAGAATAGAGTTGCTTCTTTCAAAGGCAAGGAGAAGAAGTGCATGCCTGTTAGGGATTAGCTAATTATCTGGACACCTGACTAGCACTGCCACATCTGAGCTTAATGTTCTTCTCAGCTAGAATCCACTCAAACCACTGTCACTTACCAGTGTCAAGAACACCAGGCTGCAGGGTAGGTTTTGGACTTGGAAAGACCCTTTCTATGATTGCTACTACATAAAGCTCTGGCATATCACACCAGTGATATCCTGTGGCTTGCCAACTGGAATTGCTAACCCTTGTTTCAAAGTCTTTTATTTCTTCTGCTGTCACCCCCCTGTTTTGTAAACCTGTACACTGAAAGAGCAAACACTGCAAGATGCATATTACCACTGTCTGTGTTTTGCTCCCAGACAGAAGAATAATCTTTAGTGGTGAAGTAACAGCTGCAGCAGATTTGGAGAATAGAAGAAACGGAAGTCTAGCTTTTCTGATCACTGGTACCAAGTGGGAGATGCTTTGCAGGCTCCTCTTGGTACCATGGGCTGGCTGAGGCACAGACTGGTGCAAGGGCCACGCTGAACATACAGCACAGCGTGGGCTCACTGCCATGTGATCTTCTTAACTCCTCAATAGGCAATGGTCTCCTGCTCAGGATCACTGCACCTTTTAATTCTGCTCTATCCTTCTTATAACATGGAAGCTAGTTCTGTATTTAATATTGTAACACTGGCTTTATTGATTCTATTAGATATTGTGGAAGTCCCTTCCCTAGGCTTGTTCTCTGTTCATATACCCAAGGATCACATTAAATCCTGTTTACTACAGGGAGCTCAAGGCACTAGATCCCAAGAGGCAGCCCCAAATTTACTTGAAATCCCTGCTGTCCATTACATGTGAGCTTTCATGAGACAACTGTGCATGACACAGTCTTGATTCTAGATGCTCTTTCCTCCTGTGTACCTGACTCATTCCCTTGTAACAGGCCCAGCACACAACTGACTTCCCAGTGAGTTTGTTCAGCTCACTATACACAGAAAAAATAAATTTTTGCGGGCTACGGTAAAGGAGGGGCCAGGAAACGGGAGCACACGGAACCGCGGGGCAGGCAGATGGGGGAGCGCAGAAGGGAGAACCCGATCTGCCCTCCTGCCCGTCCCGGGGAGCCCGTGAGTCACGGCGAGGGAGGGCCCCGGCCGCGCCCACCTCTGAAAGCTCCGCATTACTTCCACGGTCCCAACGGGCAGAGGGCGGCTCTGAACTCTCCCCCGCTCTTTCTCTCCTCTCCTCCAGCACCGGCACAGACCGCACCGTCGGGCCCCGGCGTGGGACGCGCCCGCGGCGAGGAGCTGCGGCCGGCAGCCCGTGCCCGCCTCGCCCATGGCGCGGCCGCGGGACCCCGCGGAGCGCTGCTCCTGCCGCAACACCAACTGCGTGGAGCGGCCGCTGCGCCGGCTCTTCGAAGCGCTGGCGAGCGCCGTGGCCGCCTGGCCCTGGCCCTTCGTGCTGGTGCCGCTGCTGCTGTCGGGCGGGCTGGGCGCCGGCTTCCTCTTCCTACCGCAGCGGCAGGCGAACGACATCGAGGGGCAGTTCACGCCGACGTGGGGGCCCGCCAAGGCCGAGCGCGACTTCGTGCGGCGGCGCTTCCCCACCAACGACACGGAGCGCTTCTCCGCCCCGCGGCTGCCCACCGAGGGCGCCTACGCCGCCCTCATCGCTGTGGCGACGAACGGCACCTCGGTCCTGGAGCCGGCGGCGTGGGCAGAGGTGCTGCGGCTGAACGCGACCGTGCACGACGCCGAGTACGAGCGGCTCTGCGCCCGCACCGCCGGCGTCTGTGCCAGCCCCAACCCGCTGCTGTCGCGGCGGGGCGATGCGGGACCGCCCGCCCCGGGGAGCCTCCGCTTCCCCGTCAACGACAGCGTCTTCCTGGGGGCCGCGCTGGGCGGCGTGGAGACGGACGGCGGGCGGGTGCTCAGGGCGAGGGCCCTGAAGCTGGTGTATTACCTGCGGGAGGACGGCCCCGAGGCGCAGGACAGCCGGCAGTGGCTGGAGAGCTTCCTGCAGGGCATCAGTTCCAAAGTGGCGGAGTTGCGCCTCGGCTCCGTTCAGGTAACGCAGGGGCCGGGTACGGCCGTACGGAGCCGCCGAGCCCGAAATGTCCGGGCAGCCCCGTGGCAGAAAGGGAAAGGGAGGGTGGCGGAAGAAGGCGAGCGGGTTGCGAGTGCAAGGGCACTGTTCCTCTGCCAACGTGATGTCTGACCTTGCCTTTGAGTTTGTACAAACAAGAAAAGGAAAAGTGCTTTATCGTTTCTTGTTGTTTTAACGGCAGGTGACTTATTTTACCTCACTGTCCAGACAACAGGAGTTTGAAGGAAATACCAAGAATGTGATCCCGCTCTTCTCCATAACATATTTCCTGACAATAACGTTTGCAATCATCTCTTGCCTAAGGTAAAATGTCTCTAAACTATGGCTCAATGAGCAGTGATCTCTGCTCTTCTTTACCTTCCTGCAGTTGATTTCTGGTCTTGCCAAGTGAAGGCGTTCTTGAAACTGCAGGCTTCCAGTGATATTTAATAATATAACAATATTTAACAATACTTAATAATATAACAATGACATTTAATAATAGGCAAAAGGTATTTCTTTCTTTTTCTTTTCTATCTGTGCATATTTCCAAACTGCTTAGATGAGTTTCATGGTAAGTACCAGATAAATACCTGAACAAGTCTTCAGTGTAGACATGACCAACTTGAAAGCTCACATCATAGAGAAATTAATCTTGTCCACATCATTCATCAGGTGTTCTCTTCAGACAGGGTATTGTCTGGGAAATATGACACATAACCAAGATATTCCTTGAAATATTTTCAGACTAAGCTGTATAAGAAATAATATCTGGCTTGCAAGCTGTGGAGTGCTTTCTTCTGGCTTAGCTGTATTAAGCAGCTTTGGATTGATGCTCTTCTGTGGAGTGCCATTTGTGGTCACTGTAGCAAATGCACCATTCCTGATTCTGGGTAAGTAGAAAAAGTGAGTTGTATTCAGATACAAAGACCAGAGTGAAGTTAAAACAACCTAATGGTGTCAGTCTTTTATGATGTGAATGTCAGATGATACAACATTTTCTCCTGAAGTGAGTGTAGGAGATACCCAGAGGTGCAGCCCTCTCAGCTCAGCTCAGTGTGCCACAGTGGGACTGGAGATGGGTTCTGGTGCAAGGGCACCTTTCCCCAGAAGACAAGGTCTGATCTAGATCCACTGCTACAGCAGGAAGACTGTAAATGAGAGAGTGGTACAGTTAGCACTTGTGGCATGGTTCTAGCGTCCCTGGAAGTGTAGCCAGGATGATTAATCCTCTGCAATATAACATCTATGTACAAACCAGTCTCAGTTGGCTGCACAACTAAAGTGATGCACCATTCGAGCAAGCAGCTCCCCCCAAAAATCCAAGGAAGTTGGTATCATTGCATCCTTGTTACACAGGCTGCTTAACAGCCAGCGCTGAACTTTCCAAATACTGATAGTGTTGCTGCAATTAGATAATGTTTCCAACTACATAATGCTGCAGCAAACAAATTACTGCCTTTAAAATCCTTGCGGGTCTCCTATATCATACAGTCTTCTGATGTTTTCTTGGGCTTGGTCACATGCTGAGGAAAACACATGGAGCTCCCAGGTTGACAGAGGCTGTGCATCATCCTAAGATGCCCAATGCAACTGCACCTTTGGGCAGGCATTGTTTCTTTGTTTCCTGCATAATTCTAATGCATTTTTAATTTACTTGCTTGCTCATCTATTGCAGTGGCTCTGACTATCAAAAAGCCCCTTTTGTATACCTGGGAAAGGGCTTAAGCCAGTTTCTTCAGATCTTCAGAAATAACACGCAGACTTTTGTCTTCCTCGCGTTAAAGCAAATAAATTCTCAGTACATCAGAGGATTTGTTTGAAGGCTGCTTGCTTTCTGAAGCAGACTGGCTCACTGCCATCCTTTAGTACCTTTTGATGTGCTGCTAAATTCATCTTTGCATGTTTACTGGCAATTGCCTGTTCAGGTAGCAGGTAATGATTTCATCTCTTCTTCTGTGCTTGGCTAAATCTCACTCCGCTATTCGCGCAGCCTTGCTTTCCCTTCTGTGTGATTAATTTTCAGTGAATAGAAGAGCCCTTGACAACATGGCAAAATACTGAAAGGTGTGAGGTAATAATCTTGAGAGTTAGCAGAGGTGAGAGAAGCCCATTGGCTCTTCATTTTTGAACTTCAGCTCACTTACTCTGGCATCTTAGCAAAAACCCAAACCCAGGATCCAGTCTTCCTGGCAGGTTTTCCCAAGGTAATATTTGTGAGCACATCGATATAAAGGTGAACAAAAATGAATCATAAATCGTGAATAAGTGCTGGAAGATAAACTGGAGAGAAGTGGAGGGCAAAGAACATAAAAAAGTAAGCCACTGGAAAAACGGAATATCACTCTTCTCCCATGTGGTAGCAACTGCTCTACAAAAATGAATCATAAATCGTGAATAAGTGCTGGAAGATAAACTGGAGAGAAGTGGAGGGCAAAGAGCATAAAAAAAGTAAGCCACTGGAAATCTGGAAGCATAGTTTACCTGTGTGATAGCAACTGCTCCATTCTTCAAGATCATGTTCCTTGTTATTTTGTTTGGGGCTCTTCATGGTCTTGTTTTTATTCCAGTGTTTTTAACATTTTTTGGAAACTTTGGCAGTTCACCTCACAATACCATGTCTAAAAGGTTAGAGCATAGGTTTAGAAACGATAAAGACTGTCCATAAATTATTTAAATTAAAGATTTTATATATTTACTATGTGGAGGCTCAAATGCAGTGACTGTCAGGAAATATAAGACATAAAAAGTAGAAGAATAAATACATCCGATCAACAAATGCTTCAGAAAAGCCAGGTAAGAAAAATAACAACTCCTGCCTTCTGAAGGCAGAACAAGACATTATTGGTCTAAGTTGCTGCAGTGCTGAAGAAGAGATTCCAGAGATAATGGGGGATGCTTCCAGTGGTAAGAACAGTTGAGCATCAGAATATGTGATGCTTTGAAATCTGTGTCATCTGCATCAGGGGACACATGGACATCAACTACAAGACACTTGTCAGAGATGCAGTAGGTGTGCTCAGTCCTTCAGCAGAATTGCTGAGGGATCAACAACCCATCAGGTCACCAGGAGGTGCTAAAAGGTAATGCATTCAAAGCCACACACAAAAGATCTGTTTTCCAGATTCTCTTGTAACTTGCATCAGCGCTTGAGCAGTGTTAGAAGCCCAACTTCCTTTTTCAGATTTTATGTAGAATGAAATGTGATTAATGTTGTAGTTTTGTTGGATGTTGGTGGAAGCTGCCATTTGCAGTGCAGCGTTAACAGTCTCTCCTCTTGCAGGGGTTGGTGTTGATGACATGTTCATCATGATTGCTTCCTGGGAACAAAGTTCAAGGAAAAAAGAGAAATCCAGTGTTAAATCTCTGCTGGCTGAAACTTACGCAGAAGCAGCACTTTCTGTGACCATCACCACTCTGACAGATGTTTTGGCCTTCTTCATTGGCACCTGGACTGCTTTTCCGTCCGTGAGGTCTTTTTGCCTCTATACAGGGACAGCTTTTGTCTTCTGCTATGTATACACCATGACCTTCTTTGGGGCAATTCTGGTATTAAATCACAAAAGGGAGCAAGGGAACCGGCACTGGCTGACTTGTATGCATGTGGATGTAGGTAAAGATCAGGCTGAGAACTCCTGCTTGTACAATGCTTGCTGTATTGGCAGCTGTTCTAGGCAGCCATCTCAGCCAGAAGGTGAGCATCCAATGAGCATATTCTTTAAAAAGTATTATGGCCCTTTTGTTACAAATAAATGGGTCAAGGTGCTCATGGTGTTGCTCTACGGAGCATATTTGGGTGGCAGCGTTTATGGGTGTACTCAGATCAGGGAAGGCATCGATCTCCGAAATCTGGCAAATGATGCCTCCTATGTTATTCCATACTATGATGATGATGACAAATACTTCTCCACATATGGACCCAGGGTCATGGTTGTCATTACTGAGAGTGTAGATTACTGGAATGAGTCGGTGCGTCTTGGCATTGAGAGCTGCACAGAGAATTTAGAGAATATTTCCTATGTAGATAAGAATCTCTCAGAGTCATGGCTGAGAGTATACACAGTACTTGCCAAAAGGAGTTTGATAAATATAAACAGTAAGACTGACTTCTTAAGTGACTTAACTATACTGTTCAGAATTGTTCCCAGTTTTGAGTGGGACATAAACAAGACTCAGGATGAAATAGAGGCTTCACGTTTCTTCATCCAGACAGTGAATGTGACATCAGCCGTGGATGAGAAGAATCTCCTCAATCAGTTAAGAGAGGCAGCCAAGCAGTGCAGCATTCCACTGAAGGTGTATCACCCAGCCTTCATCTACTACGACCAGTACCTGGTGATAGTGCAGAACACTGTTCAGAACGTTGTCGTTGCTGCCGGGGCCATGCTCGTTGTCTCCCTTCTGCTCATTCCCAACCCGCTGTGCTGCTTGTGGGTGACCTTTGCTATAGCCTCTGTTATAGTTGGCGTTGCTGGTTTCATGACGTTCTGGAACGTCAACCTCGATTCCATATCCATGATCAACCTGGTCATTTGCATTGGGTTTTCAGTAGATTTTTCTGCTCATATTTCCTATGCCTTTGTTACGAGTGGAGAGCCATCAGCCAATAAAAGGGCAGTTGAAGCTCTGTCCCTGCTAGGTTACCCAGTTCTGCAAGGTGCAGTTTCTACAATACTGGGTGTAGTTGTCCTGGCTGCAGCGAATACCTACATCTTTAGGACATTCTTCAAGATCATGTTCCTTGTTATTTTGTTTGGGGCTCTTCATGGTCTTGTTTTTATTCCAGTGTTTTTAACATTTTTTGGAAACTTTGGCAGTTCACCTCACAATACCATGTCTAAAAGGTTAGAGCATAGGTTTAGAAACGATAAAGACTGTCCATAAATTATTTAAATTAAAGATTTTATATATTTACTATGTGGAGGCTCAAATGCAGTGACTGTCAGGAAATATAAGACATAAAAAGTAGAAGAATAAATACATCCGATCAATAAATGCTTCAGAAAAGCCAGGTAAGAAAAATAACAACACACTGCACAGAATGGATTTGCATTTTTTACCTTTGTGTATGTTCAACTACCACCTTATATTACTACCTCGCTAATTATATTTTTTGTGTGACTTTTTAGCTGAATGTATTACAATTATTACAAACACTGACCACTGCATCAGGTGAATGGACTATGTTACATGTTTGCAGGACACAGTCATAGCAGAAAAGAGTAACTCTCATTGGACTGTATTTCCTCCTTGTTCGCCTTGATGCTGTAACTCATCCCAGCACTGAGCTGGAAGACAGTTTTTACCCAAGAGCCTCAAATCTGGATGTTTTACAGCAAAATTACAAGAGATCAGAACTGTCCCAGACTGCAATAACTCATAAGCCTTCAGGAGACAAAATGTGCTTAGGTTCCTAATGCAGCACGAAAAAACCTTGGGAAAGACTCACCCCAAGCTGACTCCCATTTTCTGTTCAAAATCTTTTCTTGGTGTTCTGTTTTCTAGGTAACGTTGAACATCTGGTACCCTTAAAAACTTTGTGTGTAGCTTCTGTTGGCTGCAGTTTGCAAAGTTTATTGAACTTGTGTGGACCTCCTGAGTAACCACCTTGGGAGATGACGTGGTATGACAGGGCAGGGATTCGCTAGAGACAATCACAGCCTGATTAGAGACAGAGTGAAAAAGAAACCCAAGTTTATGCAGATCAGTCCTAAAACTGTAAACCCATACATTCCATTATGCTCATCAGTGACAACCCATCTTGGGATGCATCGATAGAGAAGAGGAGCTTTCACTTAGTAGCTAAGAATATATGAGGTGATCTTCTGACCTATGGGGAAAAGGCAGTAGGTGAAATTCAGTTCATAGTTTGTTGCCAACATGATGATAGACCCATTGGAAATAAAATAAATGATGGTAACCAGTGTTTGTAATTCTGGAAAAATTGGTGTAGAACTTACTAAATAATTCGGTCCAAATCTGCTGCTGTGGTGCGTTTCTTCTGAGAGTCTGAGCAAGTGTGACAAAGCCAGGGACTGCCTCTGTTCCTTGTGGATATCTGGCCAGTTTCATGAGACCCAGTAAACAGGGCAAGATCCTTCTCACTCATAGAGTCCTAGAATATTTTGAGTTGGAAGGGACATTTGTGTTGATTTGGCACAGCCTTTTTTTGGTAGCAGGGGAGGGCCACAGAAGTTGCTTCTGTGAGAAGCTACTAGAAGCTTCCACTATGTCTGACAGAGCCCATCTCTGATGGCTCTGAAGATAGACATGCTGCTAGCCTAAATAGAGAGGTTGGTAATGCCTCTGTGATTACATTTTTAAGAAGAAAACCAAAACAGTGCACATGCAGTTTTTTTCCAGGATGGCAAGGCGCTGCCACCAGGGCCATCCTGGCAGCGTGAGGTGATGTGCTGCAGCTGCCGCCATCTTGGCACGGCCCACAGCAAGCCTTGCCTGCCTAGCCACCCCTAGCGAGCCATGCCAAAGACAGAAGGGCACGGGCAGCTGCCACAGCTTCCCCTTCCTGCTGCCCCACATGAAGAGAGGCATTAAATAGCACCAGCACCATAGCAGCCATCATTGCCCACTCAGTGGCGGCAGGGCCACGTGGCCGGCAGCAAAAGTATGATGACAACTCCTGGCAAGGAACTTAGACAAGATCGACCTCTTGGCACTGTGGGATCCTGCAGGAATCTTTCAATTGGTGGAACTTGTTGGCAGTGGTACCTATGGGCAACAGCTTTTCTTCTAGTCAGAGAAGAGGAGGAGGTGAGGACATGTGAGGGGAAACAACATGGTGGCACCAAGGTCAGTGGAAAAAGGGGAGGAGATGCTCCAAATGTTGGAGCTGAGATTCCTCTACGGGCCATGGTGAGGACCATGGTGAAGCAGGCTATCCCCCTGCAGACCATGAGTTCCACAGGGGATGCAGAGATCTACTTGCAGCCTGTGGCAGAAGTACTAATGCCAGAGTGGATGGATACTGGAGAAAGGTGTGATGAAGTGGGAGACCCAAATGGAGAGAGAGTGCCCCGGCTTCCAGAGATCAAGAAAGACAACCTTTGCTTCCAAACTAGAGCAACCTATCCTTAGAGGACTCCACCCCGTGGACAAGTGACCCACGCCACAGCAGTTTTGGAAAGACCAGTGGGAAGGACTTACATTGCAGCAGTTTTGGCAGGTCTGATGCTCCTGAGATTGGAGCCATTCCACAGGGGATGCAGAGATCTACTTGCAGCCTGTGGCAGAAGTACTAATGCCAGAGTGGATGGATACTGGAGAAAGGTGTGATGAAGTGGGAGACCCAAATGGAGAGAGAGTGCCCCGGCTTCCAGAGATCAAGAAAGACAACCTTTGCTTCCAAACTAGAGCAACCTATCCTTAGAGGACTCCACCCCGTGGACAAGTGACCCACGCCACAGCAGTTTTGGAAAGACCAGTGGGAAGGACTTACATTGCAGCAGTTTTGGCAGGTCTGATGCTCCTGAGATTGGAGCCACACTGGAGAAGTTCACAGAGAACTGTCTCCTGTGGGAGGGACCCCATGGCATAGCAGAGGAAAGACTCCTCTCCCTGAGCAAACAGAAAAAGATCTTGGGTGATGAACTGACCACAACCCCCCACATCCTATCTTCCTCTGCTGTCAGTGGGAAAGAGGGAGGGGCTGGGGGGAAAAGAAGTGGTTTGAAGGCTTATTTTACTTCTCATTGTCCTCTTCTGACTCTGTTAATAATAAATTCACTTTATACCTTTAAATTTCAATCTGTTTTGCCCTTAGAGTGTTTTCTCCCAGTCCTCATCTCAACTTGTGAGCCCTTTGTTATTTCTTTTTTTTTCTCCCCTCTGCCCAGCTCACCAACAGAAGGTGAGCAAACAGCTTTCGTGGGTGCCTGGCATTTGGCCAGTGTCAAACCAAAACATTTTAAAGGTCATCTAGTCCAACCCTCCTGCAATAAGCAGGGGCATCTTCAACATGATCAGGTTGCTCAGAGTCCAATCCAACTGACCATTAATGTTTCCAGCTCTCTGGGCAACCTGCCTCAGTGTTTTACAACCCTCATTGTAAAAAAATTCCTCGTATTAAGTCAACTGTCTTTTAGTTCACTCATCACTGCTGGTCTTATATCAAAGGCCCTGCTAAAATATTTGTCCCTGTCACTATTCCAGGTCCCCTTTTGCCCAGAGACATCTCCAGGCTGAACAACCCCGTCTCTCTCCATCTGTCTTCATAGGAGAGGTACTCCAGCCCTCTGTTCATCTTTGTAGCGTCTTCCAGACTCATGCCAGCAAGTCCATGTTCTTCTAATACTGGGGACCCCAGAGCTGGATGCAGTATTCCAGGCAGAGTAGAGGGGCAGAATCACCTCCACTGACCTGGTGTCTGTGATTATTTTGATACAGACCTGGGTACAATTGGCTTTCTGGGCTTCAAGCACATATGTCTGGGTCATGTCCAGCCTCTCATCCAGCAGTGTACCCTGAAGTTGTTCTCAGCGGGGCTGCTCTCATCCTCTTCATCTCCCAGCCTGTATGGATACCAGGGGCTGCCCGAACCCATGTGCAGGACTTTGCACTTGGCCTTGTTGAACTTCATGAGGTTCCCATTTCTTGTGGTTGTCCAGGTCCCTCTGAATGGCAACCCTGACCCTCAGGCATGTCACCTGCACCATTCAGCTCAGGGTCATCTGCAGACTTGCTCAATCCCTTTGTCTGTGTCATTGGGGAAGACATTAAATAGCATGGTCCTAGTATGGACCCCTGAGGGATACCACCTGTTACCAATAGCCATTAGGACACTAAGCCACTGACCATTACCCCTCAGATGCAACCAATTAACCAGTTCCTCATCCACCTAGTAGTCTACCCATCAAATCCATATCTCTCTAATTCAGGGAAAAGGATATTTTAGGGGATCATGTCAAAGGCCTTAAAGAAGGACAGAGAAAACAATAGCCCTTCCCATATGCACTGATATTGTCACTCCATCACAGAAGGTTGGTCAGGCAGGACATGTCCTGCTGAAACCATGCTGGCTGTCTCAAATCACCTCCCTGTCCTTGACATACCTTAGCATAGCTTAGGAGGATCTGTTCCATGATCTTCCCAAGCACAGAAGTCAGTAGCTCCCAGGGTCCTCCTTTCTACCCTTTTTGAAGATGGGTTCAGTGTTTTCCTTTTTCCAGTCACCTGGAACTTCACTTGACTGCCAAAACTTTTTGAATAGCACAGAAAGTGGCTTGGCAACTCTATTAACCAATTTCTTCAGATCTCTGGGATGCATTTCATCACGTCCCATAGATACATGTATGCTCAGGTTCCTCAAGTGGTAAAGAATCATCTTCTCTTACAGTGGAAGGGACTTTGCTACCGAAGCCCCATCTTGCAGTCCACCCACTCAAGAGGTGTGAGAAGAGAGGTTGCCATTCAAGACAGGCAAAAAGGTGTTTGAGTATCTCAGCCTTCTCCTTGTCCTTTGTGACCAGTTTGCTGGCCTTTGTTAACAAGGCAGGTACACTTTCTTTGATTTTCCTTCTCTGGCTAACATACCTGTAGAAGCCCTTCTTGTTATTCTTTGCATCCCCTGCCTAGTTCAGCTCCAGCTGTGTCTTGACATTCTTTAACCCATCCCTGCACAACCAGACTGCGTGTCTACACTCTTCCCAGGATAGCTGGCCCTTTATTTTGACTAGTAGGTCCTAGTCAAAACTGAACCATGCCAGTCTCTTGCCTTCCATGCCTGATTTCTTGCACCTAGGGATCACTAACGCTTGCAATTATGACAGGCATCCTTAAGGATCTGCCAGCTCTCTTCTGTTCCCTTGTCCTTGAACGCAGTTTCCCACGGGGTCCTATTGACTAACTTATTGAAGAGCTGGAAGCTTGCCCTCCTAAAGTTTGGGGTCCTAACTTTATTCTTTGCCTGACCAACATCCCTCAGGACTGCCAACTCCACCAATGTGTGATCACTGCAGTCCAGGCTGCTTTCAATCTTGATGTCTGCACTTAACTCATTTGTGTTGGTGACCAACAGGTCTAGTAATGCATCCCTTCTAGAAGGGCTGTCTATTACCTGGCTCAAGAAGTTATCCACGCTTCTGGGAGTCTCGTGGCTTGCCTACAGCTCAGCATACTACTTTGCAATCAGATGTCAGGGTGGTTGAAGTTCCACAGCAGGAAAAGAGCCTGCGAGCACAATGCCCCCTGTAGCTGGAGTCAGGTTTTTTTCTGTAGGCTCCCCTTTGTCAGGTGGCCTGTAGTAAACACCAGCCACAAGATTCCCTTTTCCCTTGATCTCTTATTTACCCACAGACTTTCAACCTGCTCATGGCTATTCTTCAGAGAGAGAGCTCTTCACACTCACTCCACCTCTTGATGTTAAGTGCAATTCCTTCACCCCTCCCTCCTCTTCTGTCCCTTCTGAATAGCCTGTAGCCACTGATAACTGCACTCTAGTAATGGGATTTGTCCCACCAAGTTTCAGTAATGGCAACTAGGTCACTGCTTTATAACAGCAGGTAGCTTCCAGCTCCTCCTGTCTGTTGCCCATGCTGTATGCAATGGTCTAGAGGAATTTCAGCTGGGATACTGGCCATGTTGCTTTCTTAAGAGGAGCATCCCTTAATGCCATTGAGATACTTTTGTGACGGCATCTACTACCTCAGGAGCCCTTGACTCATCTCCGTAAGACTTCAAGTGCAGTCAGCACAAATCAGAGCCACTGGCAGAGGGTTCTGACTAGCACTCCATCCTTCATACTTGGCGGGTCGTCCCACAGCTTGTCAAAGGACAAACCCGACATCATCGCCCTCCGTCGCCCGGTGTGGTTCAAAGCTCCATCCGCGAACTCCCGACGGGGATTGCGGCAGGGACGGCTGCCGGCCCGGCCGCGCCCGGCGCCGCCCTCTGCTGGCCGCGCGCTGCCACTGCCGCCGGGCGCACCCGTGTCGTCCCCGAGGCAACGTCCCTGAGCGCAGGGACTGCGCCGGACAGGGCATTCCCGGCGAGGGAATGGGCCTGAGGAGCCCCGGGGACAACAGAGGCAATGAAGGGGTCATGCGAACAACACACGAGTGAGAGAGAACACGGAGAGTAGAAGGAAGATCGTGACTCCTGGCCATGCAGCTGAGACACCCGCTCACAAATCTTCTCGGACAAGTGAGCAGGAAATTGGAGAAGGACTTAGCTGTTGTTTAACATGCCTTACAGAACAAGCTTCTCTACTCAGCCGTCTGGCTCCTGCATCCTCCAGGGCTTTGTATGTGCACTCTATCAGTAATTTCTGTTGCAGATCTGTGCATTCTGCTTCCATATTATTAATTCCAATTATTATTAATTGGAATTAATAATATGGAATTATTATTCCAATTATTATTCCCATTAATTATTAATATCCAAACAGGTGGTTTTAAAATTAATTAAATCTGAAATACACAGACCAGAATAAAAGATGACATATGTATATAAGATCCATTTACTTCTAGACTCAACAGTAAACATTTTTTGCAACTTCATGAAAAGCCAAGCAGTAAGTGGTGTTAAGGCCACAGTTCCCATTTATGAAATTCAGAAGAAAATGTTTATGAGGCAAAGAAGCACCTTCGACATCTAAGTAAGTTAGGCCTGCAACTAAATTTAAGTTATAAGCTACGTTTCATGCTGTTAACTTAGTCAACTTAAATAAACTTAATTAATTTAAATGCTGTTAACATAAATGCTGTTATTTCTTTGCTAAATTGTTATGGTTAAGTGATAAGTTACATTTAAGATATAAGTTAAATTTAAGCACTGTTACATTTGAGTGCTTCTAAGCTTTTTGGTTGTATTACTTTCTGTCCTTTGTCGCATGCAACTAAACGCACACATTCAAACATACGTAGATAGTTCTCAGGTCATTTCTGTTTTGATTGACTGTATTTTGTTCCTTTTTTTTTTCCTCAGTGTGCCTTAACTGTTCTGTAAGTAGTAGAGTGAACGTTGGCAACAAACCTTGTTGTGCTATTGCTTAATGTTAAATCTGGTTTTCACTGATACCCTTGCCAGTGATTTCTTAAGGAATCTTAAACACTCATTCATACCAAGCACTGAAGAGAGCTGGCTGTTGGACCAATGCCACTGCAGTAGTGCAAGGATCTCCTGTGGCCATGGAAGCAAGGCACTGCACCCTGGAGATGGA